AATAAAAGGAAAAATTCATTTATGAAGTTGCTATAAATTATTTGCTGGGTTGGACTTGACAAGTTCCTTATTGCTTTTTGCCATGTGCAGACACTGACTTCGTGTAAAGCAAGTCCAGCGCTGGAAGTTGTCAGGGCACTGGTAATCTTTTCCTTTCTGGGGTGTGATACTCTGCTCTCCTGCAGTCAATCTCAAAAGGGAAAACACCACAAACTCATTGCATGCCAAAGACCATATGCCTAGAGTCACTCCATCCATCAAACAGAGACTGAAGCAAGGTTTTGACAACCAGAATGGTATGTAAGCACTACATACATCCATGCTGCTACTCTTGCAGCCATCTAAATGGATTCCTTCGTGGTTTCCCCTAAATATCCTCTCAGGACTAAGGGATACTCATAGCTCAGCTTATATCAGTGGCAATGCTGAAATTCAAGAGGTCCACACTGATACTCTGAAAAAAGAAAACCCTGGCATTGCTTCTGACTAGAGGGAGCCTCATCTGCTTCACTGGATTCAAGGAATAGACAATAGCCACAGATCATACTTGGCATCACTAGTTCATAAATAAGTACCTGAAGTCTAAGACCTGCTGAAATATCATTTTCACAGCAAAGTAATTTTATGAAGACTCAGATTGGCAAGAAATTTAAATGGAACAATGGAAAGCATGTTTTGCAGCCTAGAAGTAACGGAGTTAGTGCATCAAAGCAAAACAAGCTATCGTGCTTTGAAAGTATCCAAGACCTGCTCATACCCTAAGCAAATTTAAATGCCAGCAGTGACTCGGTAGAAGTGAGGAACTGCCACTAGAGGAATCATAAGGGCTGGAAAAGACCTCTAAAATCATCTAGTTTTGACCCATACTCACTATGTCCCTCAGTGCCATATCTCTGTGGTTCTCAGACACCTTCAAGCACGGTGACCCCCTCCCCCCATCCCCCCCCTCCCTGTGCCAATGCATTACCACTTCTATTGAAATTTCTCATGACATTCAGTCTGAAAGGAAGGAAGCACAGTGGCTGGAAGCTGATGGCTGGTTTGGAAGAAACGTCCACAAACTGTGGGTTTTGAGAAGGCAGGTCTGTCCAGCAGCACTGGAAGCTGGCTCATCACACTAGTCAGTCCTGGAAGCTCTATCTCAATTAATTGCTGCTTATGTTCACAGCAACTAATTATCTCCTGGGAGGCTAAGTGGACAGGAGGGCATTATGTTGAAGTGAAAGGAGAACGCTGGGAGCCTCCTGGAGCCACAAAAAAAAAAGATGAATCACAGCAGTAGCATACGATGGTGGGAATGGGGTAAGCTCAGCCTTCAGTAAGGAAGGAACAATCTCCTAATGGAAGCAGAAACAGGTGAATATTATTGCTTACATTCAGGGGTGCTCTGCCCAACATATAAGGGGTCTGCTTACTTCAAAGGAGTTAATCAGATCCACACAGAGAGCAACAACACATCTGCTTCTTCCTACAAAGATTACACACGTGAAATTAAGGAGACAAACATGCATGGCTGCGTCCAAAGGCAGAGTGGCCCTTGTGAACAGAGGACCAAAGCTGTTAAGACATCACTTGAGTAGAGTATTTGCATACTTCTTTACTGCTGATAATTCCCTGTGCCCCCTACCAAAAATAAAACAAATATCACTATCAGACTTGCTCAGATCTTCAGAAAACACTGTGCCCACAGGACACACAAAGGTAAACCCCAAGTATCTCACTTCTAACACTTCTGATGAGCAAAGACCAGCTAAGGATGTGACACCAAACTCTGATGAGGATTGGAAAGACTACAGATCTCATTCAGACCCTTTATTATTCTGTTTTAATTTAAGAAAAAACATCAGCGTACCTCAGTGTAACACCATAACGTGACAGAAGGTATAGCAATAACAGCAGAGCAGCACAACCCCAGGCTGCAGCAAATGAAAGCAAGCTCAAATGTAGCAGCCGTAGACACAGAAACAAAGGAAGAAAAACTACATACCTTCAAAAGACCTCAAGCAGGCAGGATCTCCAGCAAGATCTCACCTCCACTGCCAGACCTTAAATGAGGTCTGGGAAGGGATAGATCCTGGCTCCACCCCTTCATCACTTAGACGCATTGCATTGCATACACCTGAGCTCCCCTGGCTTGGCCCTGCCTTCCCACCAGGTGCTCAATCACTGCTTCAGGCCACGACTTAGCATTTCCAATCCTATCAGCCATTTGGAAACACTCCGATCGCTTTCCAAACGTCTGCAGCCCATCAGCTCAATTCTGAATCGTTACTACTGCAACTAACTGACGCTGACTCCTTTCTGCACCTTCCCCTTTTCATCTCTGCAGCAAGGTGAGACCCAGCTGGATGGATGATGGAAGCACTCAGTAGATCAGAGCACCTTGCAGAGTATGGCAGTGCGAGGCCCTTCTTCTTGTGAAACATTTCGAGTTCCTAAGGCAGGGAGGCTTTGTTTAGATAATTCAACTGATGATCTTTTTGATCCCGTTACACATCCAGGATGTTCTGAGCAAAGACAGAAAAATGAGTGGCTTCAATATGTATTGAAAAAAAGGTTCTGAAAATGCAGCCTGGTGCTGAATAAGGATGTAAAATCAAACAAAAAACGTCAATGGTAATCTGCACAAATTTTTGATTGGGGCTCCCTTCTGATTCTATTGGGACAACGGCAGGGTGGTATCCATTCAAGAGAAAGGAAACCCCAATCTGAAGTCATGCAAGGCAACTGGACAAACCTTCAAAGACTGCTGCCTCTCAAGTGGTTTACATCTCCAGCATCCCCTTCCTTAGCAGACAGTCATAAAGAGAACACCATGCTTGGAGATGGCAAAATAACATTTCTGCTGAGACCAATGGCTCAACAAAACCCTCAATTTTAATGCCCCTGAATATGGAGAAAAAATTCCATCAGTGAAACCCGAGTGCACTGCTTGGACCATGGCACCACTGATGCTCCCAGACACTTCTCTACCTCCACCTTTGCTCTCAAGTTTGCTGCACGGTTAAGGCAGTTGTGGGAAGTGAAGTGCTCACAGGCGAAGGCCCACGCTGCACACTGGGAAGCAGGAGGATGGTTGAGACTCTTCACCTGTCATCCTAGAAGAATGACAAACAGGCGAACCCTGTTTGTGATTTTGAGATCAGAAAAGCAAAGAGCCTGCTGGGATGGAGGAAGGTTTTGGTCTACATGTTTTCTTTAAAATAAAACCCTTGTTTTGAACCTGTACCAAAGCAATGACAGTAAAGCCCTTAATGATGCAGGCATCTGATAGATCACTAGAAAAAAAAAAAAGAAAGAAAGAGTGGGATGGGAAGAGAGCTTTGCAAAATACACATTAACAAAAGACATAAAACAACAATCGTGCAGATATTTTAAGTTAAGCTCAAAAATAATAGAAGTAACTTCATTCAATCACATCTCCCACACATACCCAGAGAAGAGATTACATTTAAAAAAGAATTAAAAAAGAATTCAAAAAGGAAAAAATAAAATTGAAAGCATTAAGTGCACTGGAATCCTGTTTCTATAACTCCAGTCAAAGGGAACTTTGGAGTAGACTGACGAACCACAGCTCTTGAATGCTGGGAGCTTGTTTTCCATCATGCCACCATGCCATTCTCCTTCACCTTGGGACTTCAGGGGAGAAAATCTGAATTACAAAAGGAGCTACAGAATTTCAAGCAGCCAGGCTTTGAGGAAGGTTCCATTCTCCAACATTTGTGTTCAAGTCTGAATGTGTGTGTACAGTACAGCATCACGAGCTAACATTTGAAAAGACAGCAGTCTAAGTAATAAATTTTGAGAATGAAGAGAACTGTACAGAATGATTCCAAAGGCTTATACTTGACAATTATACATATTTTATGAGACAGTTATGCACCCTGTGTCTTTTTTAAATTCATTGTTTTATGGATGCAGTATCTCTTATTCTAGCAGACAGGATATACTAAACAAATCTAATGGTCTAAAAGCATCATTTACCACTGCACCTAACAATGGCACTGCAGAGATTTGTAGCTTTTTTTCCCTTAAACTCCTCCATTACCCAAGTGATTCTTAGCACGGCTGCAAACCAAGAACCAAAGATCTGCAGATATAACATTTGTTTAGTATTTGGCACAGTGGAGTTTGTTTGATATACCTATTTCACCCTTTTTTCGCCCTTATTGATGCTGAACTTGTAATGCTGTGCATAAATTACAAACACGTTAGTGAAGCAAATCGTGTGGAGGCAGCCTGGCGCCCCACACCCGAGTGTAAATGCCCAGATAAGAGCAAGGTCTGCTAAAAATGAGTAGTGGGTTATCAGCCCCTGTAACTGCCAGCAGTGGGTGAGGAGCAGGGGCAGATCAGCCCATCAGCTGCATGGAAGTGATGCCCAGCATTCGGATCAAGGCGCCGGCTCACTTCTCTGAACAACCCGCACGTTCACAACAGCTTCAAAATACGAACAAAAAAGGAGGTTCCTGATTATGATGCTGACCCTTAAAACCCTTCTGATAGCGGAAACGGGTCTGGTTTCCATTTCTGGCCAGGGAAAACCCATCAAACACAGTCACTTAGTATTGCTTCCCAACAGGAATGTTTTGGAAAATAAAAATAATACATACAAAATAAGCCTGACCTGATGGCTTCCTGAAATCAGATGAAAGCTTCCCCTTGATTTCCGCAGCCTTGGATAAGACTGCATTGCAAAGGCAAAGGCAAATCTGTTCTGCATGGCCACCTCCTGAAGATGTGAACGAACATTTCAGAGGTGCTCAGTGCTGGCCAGCCTCTGCTCCTATAACCCAGCCTTCCAGAGGAACACACTTTGCACATCTCAGGGCAAAATGTGGCTTCCGGCAGATTATTCTACTTTCCTCACATGGCTTCCATGGAAATGAGTGGAATTTCTCAAGTGAGAAAAATATCTGTTGTGAAGATTAAGGTCAGTATTCCTTTCACCTGGTACATACACACACACATGTACTTTAAAGAAAACATCCACCACACGATTTCTAGATTGCAAATTATATATATATATATATATCTTTAAAAACAGGAGAGAACATAAACAGTTTCTCCCTTCATATATATGTATTCACTGAGTCACATAGAATATGAAAAAACTATATTATGTAAATCATCATATTATCTATAATTCTCCAACTGTTTTTATAGAGACACAGTGCGTTCGTTCTCTTTTTTAAAAACATATTATGTGTCTTCATTGGCTTGGTAGCATATTAGAATGAAGGCGTATGGATAAAAAATGCAGAGGATTAAACAAACCCCTTGAGTCACATTATTCAACGGGATCCTCCCCCAAACCAGCGTAAGCCCTCCCTATGGAAAAGTGTCAGCGATTTAAGGGTTAACATAGATTTGAAAATAATTTCAGAAATTAGAGGATTACACAGACAAATATTTGGAATTCATCCCTCTTTAAAAATGACAGCACATTTGGCAAGCGTGAGCAAACATCTCCAACTTTACTGGGTTTGAAAGATCCGAGCACAGCTATTCAGAGACAACCCAAAAGCTGCGATCTGCAAACACGCCTCGGCTGCAAGGACTCGGGAGCTGGGACAGCACTGCTCGCTACCTGGAAGCTTTCCAGCAGCTTTCAAGGTGTTTATCGTGGACTCATGGCTGGTGTCAGAGCAACATCACAGAGCACGTCGGGTTTGAGCAGCACCCAGGTTCAAAGGGCGGATCCTTCAGCCCATACTATGGGAATAGATGGCCCCTCGGGATGCAAATGCCTCTTCCAGCATTGCCATCATCATCTTGCTTCCTCAGCACCTCGTGCCCAAGGCTCTCTGTTGGCTGAGCTCTCCAATGAACCTCTGAGGATGCCCTCTGGCGATTCCCGTTTTGGAAGCCCATACTGTCACCAAAGGGGCTGGTAGCTCCCTGCTTTCTCCATCACCCTGCAGGATATCACAAGTGATCCCACTATAAGACGTCGTTCTCATGAATCCCGGCTGGGTTTGACTTTGAGAAAAAGACAAAAGTTTCCTGTGTTGCCATTGTTGTCTTGTAATTTTGTTTCTTCATTCTCTCTTCTCATTTTTATTAAAAAGGACCCTCGGGTTATTAATATAGTCCATCCTTCCACAGTCACTATAAAACAGACTCCATATTTTCACACCACTCATGATCTTCAAGGTTATAGATAAATTTTGTCCTATGTGGTTGGTTTTGGGGCACCGAGTCCCGCCCCAGATTGTCTAAGGTGAGAGTAGAGGCAAAAAACTCACTAGTGCTGAGACCACCTTCGTGGTTCTTGATGTACCTTTTATAGTTTTTCCTCAAGCACTGCCAGGTGGTTGTATAGAGGATGAATGCAAAAGACTTGAGGGCTATAGCAATGCTAACGTAAAGGTATCTATAGACCACGTTGTCGTACAGCGCGCAGGCTCCTTGCTCGCCGCAGAACGTGCTCCAGAACAGACATGTGGAGTCAATTCCAGCCCCAAAGATCAACGGAGGTGGAATAAAACCTGTCAAAATAAGAGAGACAAATCATGCTTTTATGATCTTTATGATGAAGAGAGAGGACGTGATTACACCGAACGGAAAGCGAGGGCACTTAGCGAGGTTAATGGTCCCAGATGGAGCCTGGGATTTGCTGGCTTTTTTAGCTCTAAATCAACCTAAACAAAGTGTGCGGATATGAGTTTTTAGCTTGGAGTCGATGTCTATGGAAGAGATTCCTGGTTATATCCCAAATGCAGGTAGGATTTTATTCAAGTTTAAGTGCCTTTCATTAAGCTTCTGGTTTATCTAGTGAGACTACATGGAGGGGTAAATGAAAAAGGAGGAGGATGGCTTTGTGGATTGCTCTCTGTTTAGATGCTTGTAATTTTGCATTCCAGGGCTTTCACTTGCAGGATGTCACAGAATCCAGTTCAGTCTGAAATCAGCTGTGGCACCAAGACCTGGTTTTGGACCTTTCCCTGACACAGGAGTAGGCTTTCTCCTGATCTAAGGAGAAGAAGCCATGGCCTGTAATGGATTCCATTGATTAAATACGAAAAAAAGGGAAAATTTCAGTGTGCCATTAAATGAAATATCACAGCAGGATTCTCCTACAGCCACTGCAGCTAACTGTGGATGAGCACGTCTCGTTCTGCAACAGAGCTGCAATCTAAAAACAGAGCAATCACTCCAACCCCTTTTAACCAATAAATGCGACATTTTTCTCTCTACTTTTTCCCATCCTATGGGATTGCTGCAGAATTTCCCCCATTTCAAATCGTTCCAACAGTGGGGCATCATCCACACCCAACTGCGCACTCCCCAGTCAGCACCAGGCACTGAGCATAGAATCATAGAATTATTAAGGCTGGAAAAGAACTCTAATATCATGTAGTCCAGGCACCACCGCATCCCCCATTCCCACCATGCAAATAAACCATGTCCCTCTTGCCACATCTCCATTGTTCTTGAACACCTCAAGGAAGGAATGGTGAATCCACGACCTCCCTGAGATGGAGCACTCAGAAGAAAACATAAATAAGTGTTCTACATAATGTAAACCATTTTTCCCTCTTCTGCTATATTTCTATGGGTAGGCTGGAAGTGGACAATCCCTAAGGACAAAGAAACAAGACCCAAAAAGCCCACTGTTGCATGCTAAGACAGCAAGCAAAGGAGAACACCATCTATATGAACTGAATAGCAGGTGGGCACAATGAGCTCTCTGAGATTGGGCACTGACAGCATCACTCCATCTGTAGGTGCTGTGACTATAAATACGCATGTAGGCACATAGACACAAGGACTGCACTTTTTAGACAGGAAGCATTTAATCTTGGATCCAATTTCATCATTAACCTGTATTTCCAGGTTTGAATATGATGCTTTCCTTCAGCTCGACATGAACAAAATAATGACATTCATGACATATATCCTAAGACTACAAATAAATTGGTTGTAGTCACTGTTCCCTGTGGTAACTGAGATCTTTTTCTTTTATTTTGTTGATGACTAGAGCTCTGCAGGTTATGTTTGATTTTCTTTATACGCTAATAACTACAGGAGTAAAGAAAGGCTATACAGGCTTCTGGTACACATTTGAACCATGACTGTGGTGAATAAGAATAGATGGTACAAAACAAGACAATGTGTTTGTTAGAAACATGACTTCCAGTCATCACATCTAAAACTCAGTTATGTTCTGCAAACAATGTCAGTGCCAGATCCATGTTTGTCACTGCAGTGACGGGAAAGTCTAGGCTGAGCTGGATTTGCTTCTAAGTTAAAAGATGCCTGTCTTTGAAGCCTGTGGACAACTGCAAACTCAATCCAGCACTCAAAAATCCAGCCAGACTCCTGCCACGAACAGGCAAAGAGATTGTGCTGCTGAGCGCAGTTCGTGTGCTTGGTGCTGTGCTGCCTCCAGATGCCACCTACCTATGGGCTAACATCCAGATGTGGCAGTGGGCAAGGAAACAGCAGCTGCATGATTTCTGGGCTAAGGGAGGGCTGCATTTGGACCATAATTTTGAGGTGTGAGTCCATACTTGTTAGTATGCTGAGAGACGCTGATGCAAAGCTTTGGAGATGTATAAGCTGGACTTCAGAAATGCCATCATTCCCATTCCAGCTTCAGCTGGTTCTCCATGTTTTCAATGCCTTAGAATCATAAAGATTGGAAAAGACCACTAAGATCACCCAGCCCAACCCCATCCCACCCCACCATGCCCACTGACCACATCCCTCAGCTCCACGTCCCCATGGTTCTTGAGCACCTCCAGGGATGATGACTCCACCACCTCCCTGGGCAGCTGTGCCACTGCACTTCCCAAGCAAGAGCCCCCTGTATAGCAGCTGCTGCTTTCAAAAACCTTTGGCTCCAACCACTTCGCTTTACACTCCAAGAGACCACTATTGCACATTTATATGAAGACACTGTTATGCTGCTCTCTCACAGCAGAATTCCTGTGGAATAAGATAATATGTCCGGGAGGATATCGGGAGAGTTCAGTTGTGTTTCATGTTATTACAGTGAATATTAAAGAGATTCAATCATGCTTTCCCTCTTATTGCAAAGTGTTGCAAAAAAAAATCTGCTATATATATTTCATTGCAGAAACTGCAGGGTTGTAGAAAAAAGCTGCTTCTGTCTTACTGAAATCTATTAGCTCCGATTGCACCTCTGGGTCTCATACCACGTATATTTAATACACTCCTTTGGTTCAAGAAGCAGCTATTACCATTCTCTTCTTAAGTCAAAGCTAAAGGTGAACTGAAATGCTTTTAAAATATATCAATAAAGCTAGTCAGATTGTTAAGGGCAAGATTTGGATACCCTGGCTTATCTTGAAAAGCACCTTTCTCTTCATTTTCTATGGGCTCCAGCTACATTGCTGATATTCTGTGGGATGTATTCTCTTATTTCAAGGGAATTCCTCAGTGACAGAGCAACACATAAAGATTTGAGTTTGAATTCTTACTATGGCTTCTTCACTGGAAGAAAAAGAAGATCAATTTATCTTCAGTATACATGTCTGAGCTCAGTTTTAGTGGAATTGAAGATGATGCTATCTCAGAAGATTTCTCTCTTTCAAAAAGAATAGGAAAGAGAGAAAATCTTTCCCCTTAAATACCTTTTTCTTCAAAAACAACAGTCTGCAATACCCTCCTTGCAGACTTGCCTGACGACACCCCACATTCAGCCAGCAAGAGCTGCAGAGACAGGCCAAAACCCGAGAGCAGCACTGACAGCAAAGGAAAATGCTGTCTTTGCAAGGCTTGAACCAGAGCCAACCCAATCCAGACGCAACCCTTTGACTTCTCTGAGCTCTTGGTGCATTTGCTTGATGGAGCTTTCTGTATGACTGCAGCTACTTTACCAAGAGCAATGAAAATCTAATTGGCTTTAATGTAAACTGATCTGGGACCACCATTTCCCTTCCAGCTCATGGGGAATGAGTTCTTACTAAAAACAAGAAAGTACTTACTCAAGGCAATGAGTGGTACTACGGGGATTTTTGGTCTCCTACTTCCTAGAACTTTACTACAGCCTAGAAGATGGCATTTAACTTTGTGACTGGGGATCAAGCAGAGAAGGCACTGCCGGTGCTCTGCTGCAGGAGCCTTAAAAAAAAAATAAATCCCACCTTCAAGACAGGCAGAAACCATGTGCACCCACACCGTGATGGGTCATGAAGATAATGAGATGAAATACAGGGGTTGTAAAATAGGAGCCATCTCTTTAAAAGGGAAAAAAAACCAACACCTAGAAATAAGAAGCAGGCAAACAATAGCCCAGTGTGCTCCTTTTAATTCACACATGAGAAATACATTCTGGTCCAGAGGAAGGAACAGCCATTTGCTTTTTAATGGGATATTAACCCACAGGAGAGTACAAGGACTTTGCCTGCCTCATTTTACTGTCTTCCTTTCTGAGACACCAGAAAGAAGGGACAAACACACCCTATGTAACACAGGTCCTGTCCCTCAAATGAGGATAAAAATACGTATTCCTCTACTTCAGCCATACGCAATACAAGCAGTAATTGTGCAAGCTGCTGACATGTTAATAGCTATAGGAGAGGGCTGGCTGCGTGGGAGCATGGCAGAAATGGTCATTTCTCATGCAACACCACATTTTCTTCCATTAGCACAATCGACATGGCAGGAAAAGTGCCTTTGGGAATCTGGATGCCATATTCTTCACAGGGAGGTCTTGGACCCCACCGCATCAGATCCCACCCATGACAACTGCAATTTCTGATGTCAAGTAAGTATGCACGAAGTAGAAATCAACTCTTGCATATTAAAAACAGTGTTTTCTGTGAGAGAGGAGAGGGATGGGGAGAAAGACGAGACATCTTTATACTTACCCAGCAAACGGAGAAGCAGGAAAAGCACCCCCAGAGCATAAGACTTGAGTTCGGGGCTCACGGTTCTGTAGGGAGGAGAGGGAGACAGTGAAATCGATTCTTATTGTTCTGCTTTCATTAACACACCCCATGGCAATTCCATGCTGTCAGCCAGGATGCCACCACCACCTCTTCAAAAAGTCATTAATGTGGCTTTTCTTCTTCCTTTGCCTGAACCGCCTACAGCCTCAAAAGTAATTGCAGTGGTGGCCATGTGATAGGTGCAGGAATTTAGCAAAGTCATTAACAACAGCAGCTCGTCTTGCTGTTGAATGGGGAAAAACGGAATTCTCATCTCAGCAAACTGGCATTTACCCCATCGTGTTTTTAAGGCTCCAGATGTTGAGAATTTGTATCATCTGGAATCGCGGAATCACAAGGGTTGGAAAAGATCACTAAGCTGATCCAGTTCAACCACCAACCCATCCCCACCATGCCCATAACCACGTCCCCCCTCAGTGCCACACCTACACAGTTCTTGAACACCTTCAGGGACGGTGACTCCACCACCTCCACGGGCAGCCTGTGCCCATGCCCGACCACTCTTTCTGACAAGAAAGTTTTCCTCACATCCAACCTGAGGAAAGAAAACTTCTTGTCTGGAGTCTTCTCAGACTACAAGGAATAGGGGTGGAAAGGAAGATGATGGACCAAAATGTTCAGCAGAACTGCTGGATCAAGCCTCCCAGTGGGGAAATGCTCAAGAAAACGAGTTCTCATGGAATTTGTTTTATACTGGGAAGACAACTGCTGCCCCACCTTTTGCTGTGGACAGAACCCAGTTTATCACATTAGTATTAGCCTTCATAGGTGCCTTAAAAAATAATTCATGGCTTTCTAATTCGCTTAGCTCAAGGATGCTACTGGCTAAAGGTATTCTCTGGAGGTAGGCTCAGAGAAGTCTTCGGCATTTCAGAAACCATTAATTTGGTTTTAACTCATATAATAGCATTTTATGTCCCAGAGGATACAAAGGCTTGGAAAGCAGACAGCGATCCCCATGTGACTGCATATATATTGGCATAAATATATCCCCACAATACCAATAAAATAGCCAGAAAGAGCAATTGGTTTTAAATTAGGAAAAGACCATTCTGATCACCTGCCTTCATCTCATGCATTACACAGACCATGTAACACGATATCCTGAGTCCTGCATGAAGCCCAAACCTCTGGCTGTGTTTCAGGAGAGTTACCCAGGCTCAACATAAGACTTAATGCCATGAAGAATCTACTCTTGGAAAAATATTCAAGTAGTTAATGGCTTGGCTTAAATAGGATTCTACAGTAGAGTGGGAAATAAAGGAAGTGAAAAGAGTATCAAGGTTTATTTTATGAAAAAATTGACAGTCATCTGAAAAATTCACAGTGGGTTTTTAATTAATAGTGGCGTTCATCCATCCACCTTTTTGTATTTAAGACCAAAGTCCATTCCCACACCATAGGGTGAAGTAACATTTGCCACCTGGAGATGCTATCTTTCTTTAGTGCCTACCACAGTGAACTAACGACTTTCCTAGACAAGACATCTAATTAGTAGACACTGAAGCAAACAAATCTCACACCAGATTCTTCAGGGTACGGACTTGCAGTGATTCCTGCCCTCATGGCACCTGCTTCCCTTTAGATGCTGGACAAGCAATATCAGAAGGCTTTGAGGAGTAAAAGACAAACCTATTCATATTTTTATTCCCCCCTGCAACCCATCATCCCAGACAGTCTCCAGACCCCAAAGTGTCTCTACTATCTTCAAGTGGTTACATCCGATGGAATTGTTTCCAGACCAAAACTTCAGTTCTCTTTAAGTGACCATCTCAGGCACATGCCAAAGCTACTGGTCCCAGTGCAACTCATGCTGGCTCCGAGAGGGGAGTTCATTCTTAAGTTAACCACAGGAAGCAGATGATGCCACTTGTCCCTGCCAGAGACACCATGAATACACGCCAGCACCTCCTTCCAGCAATGCTTTACCCAAAAGTACAGAGACCATGAGGTTGTATATGGTGAACAGCTCTTTCCCATACATTTTAGTAGCTAAAAACTAAAACTCTGATATAAGTGTAGCTGCTAGTTTGTATGGGTGAATTGTTTATTTCCCAGAAGTGAGAGATGAGTGTTTTTAATGTTCCCTTCCTTTTTTTCTTTGCTTGTATTCTCCTTCCTGGCGGCTGACTGGCTTATCTCATTTGGAGTCGACACGAAGACAACTCCATTCAGGATCCTACAGGTGCTGGTAGCTCCCCTGAACAAAGAACCCTTCAAACTTCAGATTGCTTTTGCCACAATATTTATCACGAGAAGTTTGATTTCCCTTTAGCTACCGTAGATGCAAAGAGAGAAAAGAAGCAGTAGGTGGAATATCTCATTTTGTATCCTGCAGGGAGACATGCCCTCACAGAGCCGTTCTGTCCAAGATCCACTGAAGAGTGCGCTTCTAATACAAACCTTATTGATTGGACTTTATTGGAATTTTCCAGGCTGCAGAATGGATCAGCTATTTATGCCTCTGGTTATTATTTGCAGTAAGTGACAGTCCTGACAGATAAGTAATTCTGGATAAACGTGGGCTTAGGTATAATGCTTATATCACAGGGGGAAGTGTTCCGTGTGTCTGGAAATAACACAAGGTCAGATATCTGAATAAGCTACTTCAGCTATTCATATTGGCTCTACCCAGAGACGTCCTTCACAATTTCAAGATCCTTTTGTTCTTGGACTTGGTCCAGGATGAGAGAAGTCAAACTCTAGCCAAGGCGGTACTGACCAACACTCACCTTTGCAACAGCCTTTCATTTTTCCGTGGTTTCTAACATCTCCAGGCCATTTCTACAGGTATCTCATTAAGCCCTTACCTGCTAAGAACACAGGGCTGCACTACTGCCACTTTGCTGATGCAACTGTAACGCCCACATTCTGCTGCACATCTGCACCTCCCTCCCCACGCTCCCTTTTTTCCGGCACTGTACACAGGCTATCCCTTTATTCTCAGTACTGAACACACCACTGGGGCCATAGCATGGATGCCACCATCCATGACCCCACTCTCCCTGAGAGCAGCCCCCAGGTGAGCCATGGGGTTACCTGATGAGGATGATGACCGATGGCGTCTGCGCCATGGCCCCGATCATGCTGCAGACACACATCACGCAGAGGAATGTCAAGAAGGCCTCTTCACAGCCAGGACTGGGGCATTTTCCAGGAACGACGGTGGCATTTTCGGCAGGGACCGAGCTGAGGCAGGAACAGCCACTGAGGTTCTGTGGAAGAGCACGGGGAATCAGGGAAAGCAAGAGTCACAGCCCCACTGCTCACCCTCTGTAATGCCACAGCCACAACGAGCCCTCCCACAGTTAATTAAGTCACTCCTAAGTGCTTATTTGAGGGGAGCTTGGGAAGGGTTTCAGGAGCGTGTCAGCTCTGATGCATGCAACCAGCAAGGAAACACCGTCCCTTGGCTTGTTTCTTTCGTCTGCTCCTTTCAAGTCTCTCCCATAAATGTCACTGTGACAAAATTATTACCAAGTTATACTCCTTCAGAGAAGAATAAAGAAACGATTTGTGTCCCCGAGACACAAAAGAACCCCAAATTATGGTTCTAATTACTTTCCACTTTACCTCTGTCTTCTCTTGCAATTAAACTGAAGTACATTAACATCGGGTAAGTCTGCAGCCCTGCTCCTGGCTGTAGGTTGAGTGCCTGATTCCAGCACTCTGAGCGCTGGGAAGGGGACAGCCATGGGAGGTGCAGCAGACCACCATGGGTTGACTATTTCAGCTGGGTGCCACAGACACCGCCGAACTCAGGAGCACTCCGGGGCCAACAAATGACATCAGGTTCACAGAGACTTTTTGTGGAGCTAAAAGCTGAAGTTGGGCACGGTAAATTTTATCAATATATGATCAGAAAGGGAGAAATGACTGAATTTTTCTTTGACGTCTTCAGCAAGTGCAGAGTGTGAAAAGAAGCTTTGTTTGCCAGTTGTAGATTTAGTTTTTTTCTTATTTTCCAGCTCACCCTCCTGAATTTCTGAGCAGGGGATGTCGATGCAATTAAGGAGCACAATACTACCAAGAAATCCCTTAATGAATAAGAATGAAACGATCATAAATGATTCATGGCTTGTCTTCATTGGGCTGCTGGGTTTGTGGGTCACATGTTTGTAAGAGAAATAATGCCATAAAGTAAAACATACGGAAAAACAGCTAAATCCCTCCCCTTCCCCTCCACCACATCAAAGTAGAAGTACCTTTGCTTTTCTATCAGGGTCCCCTTAGGACTTTACAGAAGCACACTTTCTGGTTCACTGCCTCTAAAGTAAAGGAGCCATGGGGACAGAGCTCTAGCCTTTCTGACACCGATCTCTTTCTTCTGTGCAGGAGTCAAATGATTTTCTTCCACACAAGTGCATAGCGGGCAAGAGAGACTGCAGTGCAGAACTCCAGGAAAGCTGGAGGAGACATGCAGGTGCCTTTCTTGCTGGCAAACACTCATTAAAATAACAAACTCCTGTGCTGTGAGTTAGAAGCTGCCACCTGAAGGCTTCGAGCTGGTAGCAATTAGCAGCACCGCAGAGGTGTTTGTGCAGTGACAGCAGTGCAGCACTGTAACTCCTGGTTCTTACTGTAGTGCACTGCTGGTAACCAAACAGCCAGGACACGGCCTTGCAGATTAAAACCCATCTAAATGCATAGCTGTACTGAAATATCCTGGGATTAAACTTCCATCAGAGCAAAGATGAAGAACTGGCTGCTTATTTCCAACAAGCTCTCACTGAGGGAAAGAAAGCACCTTTTTCTGGCAACGATGGGGCCCATTCTCCTCCCACTAACCTAACTTCATCCCTGCTATAACAAGCCATGTCACTGGACCCTACCTTTGTACCCTGACTCTTGGCACCTCCACCCATTTTTTCAACCACTTTGCACCCAAGTGGTGTCCCAAAGCAGTGCAAGTAGTTTGTACCAACTACATCTGCTTGCTTTGTGCTGTGCCTCATCCTTACTTGGGAGATCTTTGATCTTTTATTACTGACGTGCTACACAACTCACAGAGATCAAACAAGGCAACATCAAAGATGGACTTTTACCTTCACCCTGTGGAGAAGCAACTTTCTGTTACCCATGCCAAATTATTACAGATTCCCTTCTCTGCAACTCCCCCCTCACCATTCAATCACACATTTATCAGACTTCCACTGGCCAGCGGATTTTTCTGTGGGCATGTGAAGCTGCACAAACGCAGTTTGCTTCCTATGTTTGGATTAATTATCTACACAAATTTCCCGTGTTTTCAATCACCTAATTTCTAAACCTTGGCTCTGATGATAGGACAGGGACAAGCTGCTACTTCCCTGCAAAGCCCTGAAATGCCAGCATCGCAATGCCAGGCTGGAAAACATGCACCTCCAGCCGAAGGGGAGGTTAAGAAAAGCAGTACAAGAAGTACAGTAGAAGGCTTTGTATGCATGGGTCATTTGTGGGTATGGCCCAGAAGAGATTTTCTTGTGGGTGCCAGAGCTCTGGCTATCAGCACTGACACTTGTAAAGCTTTTTGGATAGGTGCACCCCTGGAACCAGCTCAATAAGAGAACACAAATGAAAAAGAAACAACTAACTGAGCTACAAACTGCTTTTAGAAATTGTTCACAGAGGAGAAATGGAGAGAGGCAGTCAGAAACGTCCAAGGCAGTAAAGTTAAATAAAGCATTCAGAGAATTTTATGTCTCAGTAAAAAGGAACCCTTGGCTCATCACGAGCATATAACATTCACAAGACCCTCTAGACAGGTCATTACCTGGATTATGGGTTTAAAACCTGGTTTGGAAATTTGGCTTTGCCTCAGGGCCACTGCATAGCCAAACTGGTCCATAACTCTTGGTAATACCCTTTCCAGACGATGCTATTGCTTCACTAATTTGTGTTTAAAATGCTACTGCAAAGAAATACACAAAGCAAAGCAACAAAAAGAACTCTGGGATGGAGACAAAAGGGCAAAATAAGAAAGAATGAGTGAATAAAAGTGGAGGAAGGGAGAGCGAGGTTCTTGCTTGGAGGTTTGCTCTTATGAAGCACGAGGTCAGGCAGCTGCATGCTGAACAGGCAGAGCTGAATTTTCATTACTGTGCTCCTTCCAGAGGAGTCAGAGTTCTGCCCTGAGTCACACAGCGAGGTGGTTCTTCCTGCACTCCAGACACAAACGACACTGGTTGTACTCTTGCTAAGGGCTCAGGGAACTGGTGAGACACTATTCTCTATTGTGTGCCCTGGACAAGCTGCCTTCTTGTTAAAATCATCACGTTGCTGCTCCAAGTGTTGTGTCTCTTGTTGAAAGGAGAGCAGAAGGTAACGCCTTTACATGTACTATGGCCTGGGTCACACTCTCACAGAGTCCCTTCTGGGGTTGCTGAAAGCGCCCTGAATCCATAGCGCTTCTCTCTTGTCAAAGGGATGCCTGCATCTTCAAGACTGGAGTGGGAATTCAGCGGAGGTGTGAGCTCCTGGGTCATCCGTACCAAGAGTTAGCAATGAGCTTGTGCCTCTGCTGCCTATTCAGAAAGGAAGGACACAGCCATGGAGAGATAATTGCATGTGGCAAGCACTGCAGCTGCAAGTGGTCGCTGTGACCAGGCTCACCTCCCACTCACTCACGGTGTAACTCAGGAGACGCTAGAATTTCAGCAGCACTAAATGGAAAACCAGACCTCTGAGATATTGCTAAGAATTCCACGTCTTTACACAGAGATGGTTTGGTCTTCAGGAGTTTTCTAAAGGAATAAATTCCTAAGAACTGAGAAATGCTGAATGCCTTTGGATGGAATCTCGGCTCTCTTGACAATTGCTCTTGCCATTGCCTCAGAGCAAAGGAGTGAAAGAGAGAAGCAAGAGAAGCGGAGGGAAATCTTCAATAAAACTGAATGCAATCAGGGTCTGGTCACATCTATCTAGGAATCAAACTTGGGAAAAGAGCAAAAGGAAAAAAGAGTAAAAAAGACTGAGCAGGGTGAACATAGTCAGATGGAGAACCGAGGAGATAGGGAGCAGCAGGAGAAGAGGGAAGCTTTTCCCACAGCTCAGGCCAGCAAGCTCATGCAAAAGATTTGGGTTCTGCCAAAGGACACACACGCACATTTCCCCTTGTGTTCCTGTGCTTCAGTACTGAGGGGAAAAACTGAAGGAGGAGCAGAAGGACGAAAAGAAAAGCCATCCTGTCTTGAGAGCGACCCTGGCATGCTGCTGCCAGAGCAGGAGGGCATTTTTGCAACAGAGCGAAAAACAGCTAAGGATAATCTGAGTTTTGGGGGTTTAACCACTACTGACTGCAAATGAGCCTCTCTACCAGATACGTGCTAACTTCTCACAGATTCATTCCTACAGACAAGAGATACTGAGGAAAGGCTGCTTACTGTGCTGCTGCAGCCAGCAAAGCAGGCAGACAGGTAGGTGACCCCATCTGCCCCACAGACTGGAGTGAAGGAATCAGTTTGGCATTCACAGTTGTTATTGCAGGGGGAATATGGGTCCAGAGATGAGGTTGGAGTTGAGCTGTAAGAGAAACAGAAAAACAAATCAACAGACTGATACCAGCTTTTCTGACCAGTGCCACATAAACATGGCTTTGAAGGGGGTCAGATAAGGCAAACAAAATTAGAAAAAGCAGACTGCAGGCTATCTGGGTCCCAGTTTGAAGAAAACCAGGCTACAGTCTCTCCTGGGGACAGAAATGCCTTGGCCACCATCTTTCCACAACAGGACATCTAATGTTAGACTTGGGCTGCCTCTCTAATGAGCAGCCCCAAAGCCTTGCTCAGGGAAGGGCTCTGTTTTTCTAGAACAGCGAGCAGTCGAGAGCCTGAAGGTTTCATCTTCGAAACAGTCACCACTATGTGCTGAGAAGCACCAGAAAATAAAATACAGATTAACTCTCTCCAAGTCCTGTGAAGTCCTCCAAGTCTCCAAGTCCAGTTCAGTACAGTGAACTGGGTACCTCATTCCTCCCATGAAAACGGGTTTGGAGCCATTAATATTCTCTCCACCACCTCTGAGTTTCCCTGTTTCCAAAACATGGTCTGCAAACTCCCCTCAGGTGCTTCAAAAACCAAATGAAGCAGCGTGTGTCCCTTGATGCCAGGAGAAACCAGATGGTGCAATGGACCCAACACTACAGAGGCGGTCACAGGTTCACAATCGGGTCTGGCACCTTTAGATTCAGTTTGTATGCTTTCAATAAAGCTCATTTGCCAGCTGTAGGCACTCAGCTCTCACAGAGATGTGTGGTACAAAAGCCCTCAGAGTGAGAGCACTGTTTGACATGGCCCTAATTAAGCTGCTTCCTTCATATGGTTGCTTGCGGGCCAGCACTGCCTGAAGGCTGCTCATGGAGGACAATAACATGGCATTTCTGTTGGCAAGGCTGAGTGAGATTTGCCTTTTGCTGGCTGGCTGGAGGGGAGACCCTGAAACTCCGGGGACTTACTTGTTTCCATAGGGAACAGTAACCCCTGCCACAGGTCCTGTGTCACATCCCAGGAACAGGAATGACACGTAGCAAGCTGTGGACACCAGGTTCACCAGCATGGCCATCCTGATAGCTCCCAGAGCAGAAAGGCTGAGCTTCTTCACCAAAAGACCACCCAGGAATATGCCCAGACATGCACATGGGATTGCTGTCATCCCTGCAAGAGGAAAAAATCAGCTTGAACAAGTGCAGGTAATGCTCAGTGAACAGCACTATTACATGGTGAAACATTCTTACCATCATCTACTGGAGTAGCACCAAGCTGGTATTTATTTGTTCTTGAAATATTCTTCTTGTTAAATCAATAAACCACAGAGGCTGTGGTACCTGGCAGTGTTAGATCCTGTCTGGACTGGCAGAGCAACTCACCCACCACTGCTTTACTCCCATCCGTGCCTCAAGCCCTGCACAATTAAATCTGTGCTGCTCTCTCCAGACTCATTTTAGGGTAAACTGGGGCTGCCCAGCAGAGAGGAATGCATGCAAACGGATATTCTGCCTTGCACAGAGGAACCAGGATCTTCTTTCAGTTTTCATCCATACTGTAGGGGGATGGCAAAATTGCTGAGATAGGCCCATCCTAATCCAACCAGCAGCATCTCTATTGCCCCCTGTGACAACTGGCAGCCAGAAAAGTCAAGAATATTCTGAAGTGCCTAGAGACTTTGGATGAACCCTGCTTGGTATACTTCAAAGTACTCTGATATTCAGAGATTAGGCAATAGTTGCATTAGGAAATATTAAACCTCCCTTATAGAATCTTCCCAAACCATAAGATGCAAAATCACTGCCAGAAGTGACTCACTTTTCAGGCACAGAAAAGCATTATCACACTAAACTTGTCTGGGTTCAATTTAATCCCTTTGCTGCCAGTTACGCTCCAAACCTTACCTACCCAAGCAGAGCACAGAAGCGCATCCAAATCCTGGCACTTATGGACTCCTACAAACACCACCTGGGAAATCTGGCAGCAATGCTGCTTAAATTAAACAAGTTGTTTTGAGGACAGTGGAAGTATCAAAGTCTCCCTTCCCCCTGCTGGGTCAGAGGCAGGACGTGCTCTGGCTCATGGCAATTCCCACTCTACAGACCAGCCAGCTGTACACATGCTGGCTGGCCAGGCATCCTCCATCAAACAGTGGTTTTCCTTCTACCACTGGGTCAACAGCGAAGCTGCTTTCCTTTGCTAAGCCCTTAATTTTCAAGAAGGACAGAAGAATCCAACATATCTGAGACCTCTATGTCACTGGTGAAGGCAACATTGATGGCAAGGGATTGTTTTTTGGAAAACTGGGCTGAAACCAAAAGATATCAACAGTCAATGGGAAAATAAGTAACTGTCAGGAGAGCAGCTTGCAAGTTTTTTATTTTGATAGTAAGACCCATCCATTTCATGACGTCCCAGTTTTCGAGAGGTCGCTGCCAGATGCCCATCTGGTGATCTGTATTTACAGATAACCCAAAACCAACTTGCAGATATTTTAAATGAGTGCTGCTGAGAGAACGGATGTCATAAACAAATCATTAGACTGCTTGGAAATGAGTAGCAGGAAAAAATAAATGAAGATCCTACGTACACATCAGTATCCTGACAGAGGGCAAATGAATGTAGAGGAAAACAGAGTACATGGAAAACAGCAGCAGCATAGTGTGCTCAGAGAGAAGGGGAATTTAAAAGACAACCAAAGTGCATGAGCTTGGCTATTTGAGCTGCTAACTATAATCCTGTCATTTCCAGTCCAAGGGGAAAGGAGGGACTAGCAGGAGAAACTTGGCTTCCTAAGCCAAATGGACATGAGCTGGAGAAATCTGGGATACCTGAACCAGGAAAGAAGTAGTTAGATGGGTGACCCTGTAGCTTGACAAGCAGTTGTGTTCTTAGGGAACCAAATGACCCAAGTGGGTTGGGATTTCTGCTGTACATCAAAGCTAATACATTTCTGGATACTTCAAAGACATCACGTCTCTGGGTGTTGGGCAAGTCACCTTTTGGGCAGCCTTATCAGAGAGCTTGGCTGCAGCCAGCAGCCATGCTGAATGCTTTTCCATGCCTCTGGATGCTGGAGCCTCAGCAGTGCCATGTTACTCACCCAGCAGCTGGTTGGCAGATGAGGTGGTGAGGTTGAACTGCTGCTCCAGGTACTTCCCCAGGAAGGCAGCAAAGCCTGCCACCACAGCTATCTCCATGCAGGCCGCCAGGATGATGCAAGTGAAGACGGGATTGGAGAGCAAGTGCTTTGTTACTTTGGGGATCACTGGAAGAGAGGGAAGAGGGAGACGTGTTACTGTGTGGGCTCTGCTCAAGTTGCTCTCCATAGAACAAACACATGGTACTAAAACTATATTTGCATTATGCTCAGACAAGCTGATTGAAAAGTGGCAACACCAGAATGAAGTACCAACGAAAGAGCCAGATAACAGGAGGTGCCAAGGAAGTCACCTGTCACTCTTCTTAAATGCTATACAGCTTATGTTGAAATTCTGAAGGATCAATGCTTTCCAGTTTGTTTCCTCCACAGAGATGTCCAGCAAAACCCAGCATTCTTTTCCCTTCTCCTCTCCCCATCTGCTACCAATGAACAACGCTGAGCCAGTTGATGAGCACCACACATTATTTCAAGCTTTCAGACACAAGCAGTCCAAGCTCACATTTGGCCCTTCCTTTTTCTTGCATCCAAATTCACTTCATTTTTTAATTCTCCCATAACACTGCCTTGCTTGCCGAGGGACGTCTTGCAGCACTTTTGGGTGCAAGCTGAAATTCTCCTTTTTAGCCTGGTGACATGGCCACGCATGAGCATAAGGGACATTGGGCACATTAGCCTGTGTGCTCCCATATACCTGACCTTGAGCAGATCAACAGCACCTCCTGCATGGACCCCACCAGCTTCAGCGGCTGCAGCCCTTTGCTGTGTAACACACAGCTGCTTTAGTTTCATGATCCCTTGCTCCTCCCTTCCGAATCATTAGTGTCCAGAGTCCTCTTCTCCAAGCCCGTCTCTATTTCCGATAAGCAAACACAAGTTACCTTACAAAGGGAAATCTGGCTAATGAATCAGATAGCACATTTTCTACTTCAGCGAACATTTTAATTATTGCAGAGATAACACAGCTTGAAGAGGAAAACATCCCAGTACAGGAGAAAGCCTTGCTTTGTCTCAATACCTGATGACTAATTTCTTCCTGAATTAAATGTGAAAATCATTAAGTTTGAAAATTACCCTGCTGAAGTGGAGTGAAGCCTCAATGGGCCCCTATTTGCATTTTGAAAATCCATTTCCCACCCCCCTCTGGCGTACCAGGGTCTAGCAGATGACAGATTTCTCTGGTGTGGCTTCTGTTTTCCCCTAGGGCTTTTTTTTTGGTGCAAAATCTAATTGCCTTGGCCTCAGCAAGCAAATGCCTGGCTCTTTGTCAAGGCTCTGCTTGGGTCCCCACGGTTCTTTCTTTGGGGGAAAAAAAAGGTTATAATTAGGTTTGATCTAACCTTTTTGGAAGGGGACACTCCACAGTTTCTACTCCCTTTATAGCATAAATGTTTTTTTCATGCTGTATAAAATTCTTGCTTCCTGAGGATTTGCTGAACATAATGAAGGTGCAGGAGGCATAGGATTTTTTAGTAGAACGGGACTATAAAAATAAAAATAAAAAGAGACAGAGAGGGAGAAGCCACGGTGATTCAGACATGGAGAGATCTCAGGAACCACCTGCTGCCTCCTTCAGTTCTTTGGTGGCCACCTACAGACCTTCCCATCTTGCCAGGAAAAGAAGGGGGAAAAAAAAGGCGAAGGTGGACTTGGCAGAGCTGAGATTGGAAAGCCATATTTAAGGCATTACTGCCTTTTGTGCCTCTGGAGTTCCATTTGTACAAGATTAATGGATTCCTTGAGATGCAGCTCTGTGCCAATTCAAATGTTAAGACGCAGAGGTGTATTTGTAACTTTATCCACCAAATCAGAACAATGACAGACTGACTGTTGCAGGAGGGAATTCAAGACGGTGGACGTTTATTGCTGACGGTGGCAAGGCTGGTACCAAATCACCATGCATTACAAAGTCCAAATCCAGCCTTACTACACGGTCTGGCCATCCTATACTGCAACAGGGCTCTGTTCCCACTGGAGGGTGTGATACAAAACCCAGCACAAAGAGTGCAAAGGCAAAGTAGGCAACGCCTGACAGCTTCCACCATCTCTCAGCATGGGCCAGCTCATTCCCTTTTATTTTCTAAGGAAAATGACAAGAGGCTCCCCAAAGAAATGAATATCCTTTCATCTTGCTACTGCCACCCGTTACGATGATTCATTTGACACCTGCTGCTGCCTTATCTGTCTCAGTTCTTGGGGTGAAATACCTCTGGGAACAAGATTAAAAGTCAGCAGTGAAGTTTAAAATTCTCTCAATAGACCGAAGCGACGTGCTTTCAGCTGCCTGGCATATGGTGCCTGGTGAGAAGAGGGAATGGAAAATGTCTGAAGGGGGTCAGGAAAGCCCCAGCACAACAGCTTCTCCCCTGGAGCCAAAGTCATGATAAATGTTACCCTGAGCCTTGCTGACTCAATCAGAACTTGGATGTGTGCTCTAGCCCAAAAGGTTAGCTGCCTGCTTTGCAGCTCCAAAATGTTGTTAATAAATCTGATGCTGAAGTCCACTCACCAAATGGGAAAAGCGAAAGGACTTTAGGATTTAAAATAGTCTCAAGAGGCCTCTTTGAGAATGCACAAGCTGCATCAAGACAAGGCACAGGAAGGCTCACCCTCCATACTTGGATATTAGGAAAAATTTCTTCTCATAAAGAGTAGTTGGGCAGTGGCACAGCTGCCCAGGGAGGTGGTGGAGTCACCGTCCCTGGAGGTGTTCCAGAACTGTGGGCATGTGGCACTGAAAGCTGTGGTCACTGGGCATGGTGGGGTCAGATGACAGTTGGATTAGATGACCCTAGATTGTAGGTTAGTCAGAAGGACCAGCTCATTTAACATAACGTCCTCATCCCAATGTACCCAACGTGCTATACAAAAGCGATTCCCATTGGAGAATACACCAAGAAGTAGAATCTCATCCTCTTTTCTCCACCGAAGCATTTATGCCCAACACTTCAAACTTTCCGCTTACGGGGTTTGATCATAGGATTAATTCCATTCCAGCCATTCAGGTTGGAAGGGATCAAGGAAGATGCCTCACAGCTCTCTGCCACCCCTGCTAATCTCTCCAGTTCCCACCCTCTAATACCCTAAGCAGCATCCGGGCCAAACGCTGGCTGTGGAGGCCTCAAGCATCCTCTCCTGCTGAGGATGCAAGACCATGGGCTCAACAAGCAAATGCACTTCTGTACACCAAGTAGCTTTGATTTGTCACTAAACATCGGGGAGTACAGGGAATAATTGGCAACCTCATTACATGAGGTTTAACTACTCTCCAGAAACGACAAACTATAATCATCATGTTGGTGCTTGAAATGAATTGTTTGGAGCATTACAATCACCAAGGCCCCTTTTTCCAGTTGGAGCACCCTACAGAGACATGTTTTCAATTTGCAGTAAAGATGAGGAACACAGAAAGCGAAGTAATAAATTAGTGGGAGGTTTAGAGCACAGTCCACCTAGGACAGTGTGATGAGGGGAAGGCAAAATTTAGCACTGATCCAAAATACTCCTTTCTAACAGCAATGCAGGCAGCATGCGTCAGATTTGAATAGGAAACAAAAGGCAAGATCTGCACCTTGCTTGAGGAATATGGGATGAAGAAAATAGTGCAGGCAACAAGAAGTAAATACCTGCTGGAAAGAGGCAGCTCCTATAATAGAGAAGATGGAAGAGAACAAGAGGCACTAAACTCAGGTGAGTTTAATATACCAAAGTCCATAAGGTCTGGGCAAAATTAATATCACAGATGGTATGAAGGAAAAGGATGACACTTGTGTCAAACATCTTCTTGAGAGACAGGCCTTGAAGCACCTGTGACATTCTCAGATTCATTAAAGCTGTGAATTTAGAGCTAATTTTGTTAGCTGCTGATCTCGTGCAATCCTATGAGCTCTCCCTGAGGAATACAGGCATTCCATGGCTTGGGACCCCCACACAGCTGGGAGCTCCTGGCCCACCACTACCAGGGGGCACTTCTGGGGAGAGAAACCCAGCATGCAGAGCAGCTCTCCCCCCGGGTAGTCAGCAGATTGGTGCACAGAGCAGGAAGGATCTGAACAGAAGACAAGACAGCTGTCAGCTGTACATCTCAGCCCTCCTACACTCTTGGAAATGAAGCTGGGTGGAAACCAAAATGTTTCCAAATCAAGGGAATTTGTAGTTTCAAAATTCATTTAATTCCACTGTAGGTTTTCCTTTAATTCCCTGTGAATGAATTTCTCGCTCCAAAGCTGAAGGATTCTGTATCAATTTCAACCTTTTTACATTTTTTCATCTCTCTAGACAGATGCAGTAAGTTTCTAGCTTAAATAATTTGAAAACAAAACGCATTTAGAGCTGAATGTTTCAAAAGGGTTAAAGAAAAAGCCAAGGAAGCAGTTTGAAAGCGAATTTCAGCAGAATTGACCATTCAGATTCAAAGAGATGGATATTTTCCTGCAAAAAACTGATTCTGACAGTGTATTTCCAAGCACGTCCTGGAGCAGGTGGTGCATTAGAAGCAGCGTGTTAGCACAAGGCAGAGGGCAGATGCTGGGCAGACACGAGCAGAGGGCACAGGTGCCCTGCCAGATCCGAGCATCATCTCCAGCCCCAACAGCACAGAGGTCCCTGGGGCAGCACAGAGGTATGAATGGAAAGCTGTGCCCTCAGGGCAGCAGGGACTGCTTTCACAGACTTAGAGTGCTGGGCTGGAACAACCCTGCCAGTCTGCCATATGAGTAAAGATCAATGGCAGCATTTATCCACCCTCTCCCTGTGTTAATCCTTCACTTCCCTGTGCTCCCAAATGGACTTGTGTTGCTTAACTGGAATAGAAGTCACCTAAAATGGTGCAGCACTCATTCTCTCATTTGGAGATGGTAATCACCTCCCAGTGCCGTCTCCAGGCTTTCTGGAGGACAGCCTGCTCCTTCCTTATGAAAAAGGGGAAGATGGTTGCTGTTATATTAGTCACAGCTTTTCCTTGTGCTAAAGCCAAGGAATCTCACCCAGCCCTCCATCTCAATGTCTCTCAGCAAACCTTGCGGTGTCTCGAGCATCCTCCCATGCTCCACATGTGCCCTGACACCAGCTGACAGTCACATCCCTGTTGGGAGCACATCTCCAGGTGACACTGCCCTACTTCCCTCCTGCCACGGCCACTCACTTGCAGCAGTCACTGCAAGGCTTGAAAAAAAAAAAAAAAAAAAAAAAAAATCAGAACCATTTAATAGCCAAAAAGGATTCTCAGCTCAGCCTCCAAGGGTGCACTGCTGCTACAGCCCATTCACACAAAGCCCAGAGTATAAACTCTCCCTTCCACACAATGCACAAGAGATGGACAACCACACACCTCCACGCAGCCATGGACTGATGCCCAGCACACACCTGTTCAGGATGGAGCTGCAGAGACAACACTTAGAGAACAGCTGCTGGAGTTACTGACCACACAAACCCTGATGAACGCTTCCACCCACAACCCCATGTACATCTTCTGTTCTTCAGCTTCTCAAACACATACAAATTCCAAGCCCACGACAGGCCAGCAGACACGACTATATGCACACATATATATTTTTAGCCTCCGTATGCAATTATCACTCCTTTTCATCCCAGGAAAAACAATAAACAGGTCTGACCTTCCCCAGAGGAAACTTTACACAATCAGCAAACGCATCAAGGATATGAGGCTCTGTCACAGAGGAATGCATATATATTTTTCAGCTGCTGGCAAAACAATATATGTTTATACACAACAAGATTGAAGCCTCCACCTTCAGCACTCCGCATCAGAGATGGTGAGGTTAGTCCTCCCTTGCCATCCATGCCTGCTCACCTCCAAAAGGGCACTTGGGCAAATGTGACTCCTGGCCACGTTCTGACTCAGACAAAAGTGCCAATGGACTTGAAAGAAGATGCCAGCTACCAACACCATGTCGGCTGTGACAGCCTCAAAGGCATAACTAAAAAGGTCATTCCCTGTCTTATTTGATGTGATGTAAATTGTACTTCAAAGTCCATCTACAAAGAGACTTCTGGAACTCACTGATCCGAATGGACTTTACCCGCAGTGACAAGAGTAACGTGGAAGAGTGTGGTGCCTCCTGATGTAACCAATACTTTGAAGCATATGGATGTGGAATTTTAATTTCCATACTTCAATGAGCAGTAGCTGCTGTGGCACCCATCTCTGCGGCCTCTCTGTGTGCAAGTCAGCTTGCTCTGCATCATCCACAGGCAGAACTGCCACCCCTCCATGCAGCAAGGACGTGCCACATTCTCTTATTCCTCTGTATGAAAACCTGCAAAAATTTCTAGCCCGTGCCAAAATGTAGCAGCCAGAAACAGATGCTCCAAAGAGTCCACAACAAAAGCCACAGAATCACCCAGCTGGATGTACCACGGAAAACACCCATTTCCCAAACCTGAGAAAATCCCTGCAGTGAGGACAGGAAGATAAAAGCAATCATTCCACTGACACATTTTCAAACAGTCTATCTTTTTACCTTTCCTTCTGTTTGAATTTTCTCATCAAGTCAATATTTCACATCTTTGACCTTCCCTTAATGAACAACCACATCAACTATTCAAGGCATTTTTTTTATATCTGAGCAAATATTTTTTTCCCAAAGCCTTTTTTTCTTTCCCACACGCACCTCATTCAACTCCCAATTATGGCAGCTGCGCAGGGAATAAGTGATTTTGTCCTCGGCTATCAAAATGTGATAGACAATAACAAGACCTGCTCTGCCACAGTGACAGAGAGTGGGAAGAAGCCACCAGTGCTACAGAACTGGTAGTTCTTCATCCTCTCAGATGAAGGATTTTCTGTTGTGTTATATTGAACAAGGATATGTGCCCACACTCCTGCACAATGCAGGATCTTTAGCTGACCTTAATTAGAACCAGCTTCATCGACATCACTAAAGGACGTGATATGGGATTTTCTATTCTCATCTGCTACAAGCCATTTTCTGCCTTGCTGCTTTGTTGCTATTCTAGGCTGGTATCTCTCTCTTCCCCATTCTTAACGGCTATGTTGTGTCCTGCTATACTGTGGGGCTGCAATGGCCCTGCTGTCTCCCCAGTGCTGGGAGTTCCCCATCTCTTCTGTCTGCCTTTGCTGGCTCTCTGTTTTGGGAGGCAGAAGGAAGCAGGACTGCAGACTGGAGAGAAGCTCACAAACTGCTGCAGTGACTGTGTTCCCCTTTGTTTTTATCAACTCCACAGGACTACCACGGATTTCTGAAGCTTTGTATTTTAAGAAAAATCTTTCAAGTGGAACAAAGTCTGTCTTTAAAATGAGGACAATACCAGAGATAATTAGAAGCTAGGGACTGACATCTCAGTATAAGAGGCTCGTATTTTTTTCCTCGGTAAAGGTAGATAGCCCAAATCAGAGCCCAATTATAAATCCAACCAGCTGGTAGCCTGCTGCTGCCTCTCACAGAAAACGTGAGCAGAGGCAGTGCATCACCTCGTAGCTGCTGGAAGCAGGTTGTGCTGCTCTCTGCGTCCAGCGCGTGCCGCAGGACCCCGTTGCTCGGCTTGGGCCTCTCGTAGTCCCTGTCAGGAAGCATGGCCTGCTCGCTCTCCCCAGCGTGCTCAGGCCTCGGGGGCAAGGACTGCGGGAAGCCAAACATGGGCAGGGACGAGAAGAAGAGTAAGGCACCACAGAGGAGGAAGCCTCCCCACCATGCACCGATCCAGCGAGGGTCATCTGGGGTGATGTCCAGCTTACCTGCAAGGGAAAACAGAAGTCAGTGGTCTGCTGGGATGAAGGAAACACAATGGAGTTAGGGATCCTATAGCCTGGGGGTCTGTTGGCCCCACGGAGCATCCTGCACCCACCCACCCCATGCAGATCTCCCCCTGCAAGAGGCCTTTAGTACAAGCAGCCTTGTCTACCTTGGTGGCACTTCCAGCTTCTGCAAAACTCCATAGTCAGAGCTTCTCTGCAGCTCTTTGACTCTGCCAACACTAGGATGCTGCTGTGTATCAAGTGTCCACTTTGATGGCACTGAGGTTTTGGGTCTCACTGGCCCAGAATGTTAAACAGATAAAAAACCCTCAGTGCCCTCCCTGAAAGCTGCTGGCTGGCTATGGAGATGGCTGATGGAGGAGCATACAAGAGATGCACCCTGCAACACAATGCATACTGACATGGGCTCCATGGTGTGAAACTTGTGCTCACTTATAACCTGCGACTGCATGAAGACTGGGAAATGCCAAAACGAAAAGTAAACACGTATATCTGACATGCAAAGACCTGCACGGAATTGAACCAGCACAGACAAGGATGCTGCATCTCCATCCTGGCTCATTCAGGTCAGCACTTGGCTTTGAATTCACTGGCCTGTGTCCTTTTGGACATTTGGGCAGTATGAGCAGCTGTAATAATGTGGAACATCCTAAATATTGGGAAACATTTACAAGATGTAAAAAATGTTGGAAAAGAGACCCATTCACTGTAGCAGCTGGGCCTGGAAATGTAGAGATAGCATCAGCAAAGGAAGAAAAGCAGAGTAAAAGGCAAGGGTATCATGTTGGCTGCCATTCAGCAAAGATAAGGAAAAGAGAGAGCATTGGTGTCAATTTATGGGAATTAAAATAAGCAACAGGAGAGCAGATGCTGTATTCCCAACAGCAACCCCACTGCCACGGCCACTAAGCACTGGTGGAGGGTGACCAGTGCTGGGAGCTGGCTCCCCAGGAGACCGGGCTCCATGTGGCTGCAATAACAAGCTGCTCTGTTCACCATGTCTGTCTGGGCACGGCTACTGACATATCTGTCTCAAGTGAGGCAATCAAGTTGTCTCTCGAGCAGAGACAGAAGGAAACTCTTTTTTTCCTTAGGGAAAATAACGTGCAGCACTCAAATATATATAAAGTTTGAAAAATAGTCTTTTGGAGGGATTGAATTTTTCTGCTGTTATTTCCTCCTGCCTGAAAGCACATCTTTTCAGGCTCCTGGGAACACAGCCACAAGAAGAGCCAACGTAAACAAAGGTCTTCCTCACATCCCCTTCCTGTACAGGTGCTATATGAAGGGTTGTGCCACAGGGTGTCTTGGTACCCCACACCTTCGGTCCGAAATGGGGAGCAGGACAGGCTGGCATTCTGGAGTTTGGTCTCCAGCTGTAATGTAGAGTCTCCTTGCCATTCAAAAACAAGCTGAGGCCACGTGTGCCCCAACCTTTGCATGATGATGATGGACCATGGCCAAAGCCAGCTGGACCTGCAGCTGGAAAGTGCTATCCCCTATCTACAACCTGCTGAGCCACAGCTCCTCCAGCATTAATGCCACCACCACCCTTCTGCACAGCTCCTGAATTATCTGGGGCTCTCTGAGCTCTAAACATGGAGCAATGATCCTATGTAAAAACAATCAGATTTAATTCATTTTTCACCTGTGCCAGCACCCTGCCTGGATAGAACCAACTACAGATACCCAAAAAGTGCATAAGAATAAAGCCAACATGTTCTTCTTTGTAATTCTTGCAATTTGTGGTTTGGGGACATTATAAACCAGGTATAGTATCTTTTTCATTTTTTCTTTCTATAACCTCATCCAGTTGTTTCTGAACTCATTTGTAAACTTTTCATGCCCTGCAGTGAGGAGTTCCACAGCTTAATCTAATGGAAGAAGGAGCACCTTCCTCTGCACATCCATATTTTGAACTGAATTATGCTCTAATGGCCAAATGTGGAACAACATTCAAGCAAGCACCTCTGCCTAGAGGATCATCTGAGTGTTTCGTATATCTTTACAAGGAATGGAAACAGGCCATGTGGTGCTTGACCAAAGCACAGCTAAAAGTCTTGGCTATCAAAAAAAGACTTCTTTCCTGCATGCGTGATATTACTTGGACTTCTCTAGCTGCCATACACAGACAAGACTATGAAAGGGGTTCTGACCCCTGCAAGGATGAACTCCATCCAACTGCATCCTGTGAAGATGTTTTAGCAACCTTATTAAAACTGGAGCACACCCTCAAAGGTGACAACGTGAAGCATTAGGTTTGCACTCCGCAGGGCTCAGGAAGCAGTGGAGAAAAGCCTGTAACACATTGCCCTCTAATGGCAGAGAGGCACAGTGCAGCTAGCTATAAAAATCTGCTGGCTCTTTCAAAATTTGCAAACGACTTGATTTAAGCCAACATGGAGTCAAGGTGAACAATAATTAACACTAATTTTGGCAGACATCTACAACGCTGTGGGACTGACCTGCCTACATGGTCATTTGCAGGTGGCACTGGACATGGTACGGGTGTGCTTCCATCAGAGAGCCCAGCTGATACTCCCAGGTCCAGGGGATGGAAGCTCTACAGATTTCATGCCATGCTTTGGACACAGCTGCCCTAACATTACTACATCCGTGCTACCCAGTGCTTGAACACAGTGATGTTTTCAGGCATGCTCTTAGAGCTGGAAACTCATCTCACAGTAGAAAGGAATAAATTTCAGCCGCTATGAACCTGTTGTTTATGGGGTCAGAGTTGAAAAGTTTGGGATCTTGGTCAAAAAAAAGCAAGAAGCCTCTAAAAGTGATATCCATGCATGCAAGGGACTCTCAAGAAGGAATGAGAAGCAGCTCATACTTGCAAGCATCAGTGTTTTTGACATGCTGATACATTAAAACATTTGATTTTAAACAAAATTCAGTTTTCCTTACTTGTGTCGATGAACACAGCATCCACATAGATTTTGGTACAGAAGGAGCCCAAGATAAATCCACAGGCTGGTCCAAATACCAGCATTGTAAACAGGATCCCTACAAGGAAAGAGAAAAAACAAAATTAGTACTTGGCTCACATTGTTCTGGTCTTCTGCAAGATGGGACAGTCTTACTGGGGTACCAAATAGACAGATATGTCTGTATCAAACGCTTCAGAGAAAAGGCACCCAAAATGCTTTTCACTTCTCCATAGACTTTCAGGAAAAAAAACAGAGGATCAGCTGTGACAATGCTGAAGGATTTCTATTAGCTGGAAAGACTGCATGGATTTATATTGTGTTGGTTGGATCTTATTGGCCAGCACGAGGTACCCACAGGGGAATCTTTACCTTTGCTACCTCCAGCTAAATTCCTTGTAGATATGGATATTCACAGAATTTAGGATCAGCAAACCTATGAAATGCTGAATTGTCACAGACTGCTGGGTGAAGTCCCTTTGGGCAGGTAGGAGCATTCACTCAAATCTGAGAAACCCTTCTCCCCATCATATATCGATATTTGCCACGTAACAAACACTCCCCAAGACATACAGCTATTCAGAGCTCTTGTGAAGGCTTACTGCTCCTGCAGAGCTTTTGTGAGCCAATTACTTGCTTCAATACAATATTTAGAGCATTTATTCTCATTCCCATTTTGGCCCTGGAACAGGAAGGCTACAGGCACATTGCCAACTCCCAATTATCCAGGGCAGAAAGGCAGGGGACACAAGGATAATCCAGAGAAAGAAGTAGAAGAGATAACACACAGCATCTGTAAATTAGACAACAGAAACATATTTAGCACCTTCGCATGGGATGCAGAAACAATACAAAGTCCCTAAGGGGCCTCGTAAGTGGATTTCTGAAGAAATCACAGCGAATTCTGAACAGTGTGGAGTGAAACCTGCTTGTTTGCTTTGGGTTGAGCTGTGAGGAGAGCGGCTCTGGGAGTGCAGGGATGTTCCATGAAGAAGCCTGATCACATCAGACTGCTTTACCTCTCCAGCAAGGATACAATCCACGCCTCCCTCCAACCTCCCTGTGGGTTCTGCCCAGCATCTTGGTGCGTGCATAAGGCACATAACACTGATAACTCAGCCCTCAAGTTCCTTAACGGGAAACCTTTAATTTAACTCTGTGCAGTTCTCAGAAGCTGGATAAATGAACAGAGCTACAAAACATTCCCAGGAGATCACCAATCCACCGCAGTGCAAACCACACCTGCTGCTGACAGCTCAGCCAAGCAGAATAAGACGGTGCGGTCAAAAAATAACTCCATTTTTACTATGCAGAGTGATGCTCCATCCCTGGAGACCTTCAAGGCCATATCGGATGGGGCTCTGGGCAGCCAGATTTACTGGCTGGCAACCTTGCCCACATTCTTTTTTGGTCACTAGGTGGCATTAGTGTCTATCATTGAATCAAGGGCTGGGTGATGGTATAGATCACCCCAGCTCCCCAGGCCACCCACTCTGTTACTGGGAGTCGAAGAATTTTGTTTTAACAGATATAATCTGGCAGAGAAATGGCCATATCTATTAGTCTGGCAAGCAAAGATTAGGTGTTTCTTCAATAACTGTGCATTAATTATGAATTTATGTGTAATTACTGTCAAGCACGTGTGGGCACGTTGGATGGAGTGTACACCATAGAGATGGGATCAGGCAGGCATGACTGGTTCTCCAAAGGCAGCAGATATACGTTTTCTCTTTTTTAAAACTTACTAATTGTGGCTGGATGGCTTTCTGTAAGTGTTTAACAGCTTCAGAGACCTGGGGGCACAGTGACATTGCTGTTTGGTGCAGGCAGAACAAGAGGGACCAATTCTAATACTTGTCAGAACCACCACTGCAGGTGGTGGTGGTGAAGCAGTGTCACATACAAGCAGAAACACAGAACCAAGTGCATGGAACCAAGGGCAAGATAAGGAACAGAGAAAAAAATCCTTCACCCCAGTGCTTTATACACTTTGAAATGTCCTCACTAGAGGGCAATGTGGGATAGAGCACGAACCGAACAGGGAAATTGCTAAGATCTTACAGTAAGATTATCAATTCTACATTTTTGTCTTAAAATCAAGAAGAAGAGACTTTCCTCGTGCTCCTTTTGCCACCCTCTTTCAAGACTCCACCAAAATCCTTTGGTTGCAGTAAAAGTGTTTTACAACTTATGCCACAAATTGAACAGTTCTTGAAAGAAACCAAAGCCTGGACTGTCACGATAGATAGAGCCTGGAGAGAGCTGGACCGTGCTCCAGGCTCAGCAGAGCACAGCACTGGCACAAGAGTTGGTCTGTTGGGCAGATATCAGATATCTGTTGGGCAGATATCAGTACTTAAACACGTACGTGGAGTTCTGTGCTCAGAAGGAAATGACACAAATTAGAATTTGCTGAAGACATCCTTCCACTTCTGAGAAATGCCGCATGACTGCTCATCACCACTATTAGGACAATACTTCCCACACCATCCACCTGGCCATGCAACCACAAAGACAACACTCAGTACAGAAGATCTAGTAAAGTCCTTTCTCCCAGTCCAGGATAAAGATGTGATAAAATCGTGGATGGCTTAACACCCCTTGCTGTGTTGTTTCCCATTTTTCCCTCTAACTTTTAGATCAGCCTGACTTGATACAGGTGTATGCCACAGAGCAAAAGGGCACCAATGCCAGGAACAAGCAGACCCAGGGTCTAAACCTGGCTCCATCACAGGCTGTTGCAAAACTTCTCATTAAAAGCAACAAAAGTGGCAATCAATATAGGGTACTCCAGCCTCTTCCCTTTCACTCTTAGCTTAAAACTAGCTTCTACCATTCACAGCCTTGCGTTTGGTAACTCCCATCCTCCCCAAGAGAAGGAAAGCAAAACCAAGCTGGAAATGTCAGTTCTAATTCTGCTCTGCAAACAAACACCTCCTGATCTGCAGGGCAGGCTGACCCTCTTCAGAAGGGCCTTTGCTTCGTCCTACACCCAGTGTTTCAAAGAGAAGTGGGGCATGTTCTCAAAACAGCAAGGCCTATGCAGACCAACAGGAAGTAGGATGAGAAAGGTTTCTCCTTCGTGCATTTTGATGTTTTTGTTTTTAATTATATATATATATTACACATATATATATCTCCATATATATAACATTCTTTCCAAATTATGGGAGTAATCATTTTCAGCTTTCCTGCTCTATCCCTCTTTCCCTTCGGGCTGGACTGAGAAATCTGAATTATTTTCCTCCCATCTTTTCAAATGGAACAATCTTCCAAACCCTACTTGGTTCTGTCAACTAACAGACATTTTCCAGGGGCTGGGGAAAGGATAGGAACAGAGGGGAGTATTTGATCTGACATTCTGTGACGGCATTTTATCACTAATAAGGCCCAGGACTACTAATGCAGTTTTCCATTAGAGCAAAGAGAGAGAACAGCAGCAGGTACCACGTATCAGTGGAGTGACTGTGTTCAGTCAGTCATGCAAAGCACACAGGAAAAGTTACCAAGAGAGGCATAAAGGATGTCAATATTACAGTATTAAAGAGCTGTCCCTTGGCTGATCATAGAATGGCTTAGGTTGGAGGAGAACCTTACAGACCACCTAGTTCCAGACCCCTGCTACGGACAGGGATGCCAACCACTAGGTCAGGCTGCCCACGGCCCCATCCAGCCTGGTCTTGAATGTAGTTTCTTATTGAGTCCAGGTTATTTTATTTTCTTATGTGAAATCCTGAAGCAAAAGTCAGGATTCTGGATATGGTTTTGCTTTATAAAGGAGCTCAGGTGCTTACAACGGGATTTAGTGCACCATAACAGAGACCTTGCTTAGTAAAAGACGATGTACTCATGTCCAGGAGCAGGATACATATTTCTGACTTAGTCCACACAACACTTAGATACCAGCTAAAGTTTGATTCAAGAACATATCCGAATCAAACTTGCTGGCTTCAAACAAACTGATGCAGACACAGAGGCAAGATGCTGAATGAAGGTTTCAATTCCTGTCCTTCTCTGTTTTGCCATCAGATTGGTCCAAACATCAAAGTGCCCAGCCAGCTGCCACTTCCAGGATACACATCAGCACTGGTTGATCCATAATTCCAGCAGAGCCTGGATGCCTGAAGCACCTTCACTGCTCTGGACCATCAGCAGTCAACTACACAGTACCTCAAGCCCTCCCTCTGGTACAGACAATCCCATTCCATTTAATCATGGAGGTGTGGCTCATCCCTGCTGGGCTTACATCACATTAAGCCAGGCAGCTCTTGCCTTGGCATCTCCGTGATACTAGGTTGCAGGAGGTTGTGCACTGTGCTATGGAGCAGCTCACTCTCAGGAAAGCTTATGGGCTCTGCCTGCTACCCCAAGGAATGAGGTTTTGAGGGAAGCCCATAAATAAAAACTTCAAAGCCGGGTATTTGACTCAAAAATCACATTGGTGCGAGGGTGTGCAAAACAAGATCCATGTGGAAGACGTGGGAACCTCCCTCCAAAGGTGGTATCACCATCGCATCACGTAACCGCATCCCTGTGGGGGAATAGGCAGCGAAATGTGATCTCTGTTGAGGGTGACAGTGACCAGATGGTTTGGTGACAGCCACAGAGTGCACATATGTGGTGCACAGAGGGCAGAACACACACGTGAGCTGTCATGACCCCACGGGGTGTCGCTGGGGACAAGGGACATGTCACGCTGCGGGTGGTGGCCCCAGCCAGATGCTGCTGCCTCCTGCCTGCTGTGGGAGCGAGCTCTTTCTAAAGCACCAAGGGAGTAGTTTTGCAGAGCAAGAGATAATCTCAAAACCCTGCTTGTCCCACATTTCCCGTTGCAGGGCAGGCCCCTGAGAAGGGATTACTGGAACACAGCTCGTGTGCCGGTCTTAAAGGGACACAGCAGCCCCGAGGACGGCAGGCAGCTGGACAAGCTGCAAATGCTGTATCCTCCTGAACCATCAGGGCTCCACAGGAAGACCTTTGCACTGTGGGCCGAGCTTAGCAATTTCAGAAGGCTTCCTTTGATTTTTATTAGCTGATGTAACCTCCAGATGCACGGCGTGGGGATGGGGATGGCCACAT